ATTTTCATGACAAGACCGTCGGTCACAGCCGAGTCGCTGACGGCTCGACTGCTGCGTCGATAAGGGCAGAATTTTTTGATTTTTACAGAATCTGATTAGAGTGAACATTTTATTTTAAATGTTTAATCAAGACATGTAGAATTTTTTGATGAAATATCTCAGAGTTGGTTAATTTTGCCAAACTTCACAGATGAGTTGTTCAAGAACCACCAGAAAGTTGAATATCTGTTCATTCTTTCTGTTTTTACAGTTTCTTGGAGCAATTTCGTCAGCTTTCCTTAAAAATAACCCATTTTTTAAAGCTGCTGGTGGGTTTATTTTTGCTTTAGAGCCAACGTCTCACGTGAAACTGGGAACAGAAATAAAGATTTAACAGAAAGCTGATTTGAAATCTTCAGATCTGAACTGATCTAAATGATTCCTGCTGTAGTTAAACAGCAGCTGAAAAACAAACGATGAACTTCAGTTTCCAAAAAGCTAAACGTGTTTGTGTATTTTTAGCAAAAGCAGGATTTTTCCTCCAACTCGTCTCAGGAAACCTTCGACAGGCACCAAAATAATTCCTCCAAAAGGTCGAATCATTTGGAAACATCACATTTTGTTTATTCAGCTAAATTCCTGCAAACACGAAGTCTAAAACCGCTCTGCCAGAAATCTAATTGTGGTTCCTGAAGTCTTTTTTCTGAATTTTTTTTATTGGCCCCAGAGCCGGCCGGTAAACGTGGAGTCTATAAATAATAAAATCTGATTATAAAACACCAAACACACGTTTCTCAGTGATGCAAAAGCAGCCAAAGGTGATGAAACACACAGATTCCCAGAAAGACGAGGTGACGTCGGCGCTGTTGAAGCTCAGATCTGCCAGAGGTTAACATTTACGTCTCAGACTTATGAGCCCATAAATAAATGTATTTATGATTTCTGACGCTGTGTTTTTAGCACCTGTTAACAAACTGTTGGTGAGTTTATTTATTTTATTCATCATTTTACAGGAATAAAACATTTATGAAGTGAAAGAAACATCCTGAGTCCAGCACGATGCACATCATCTCCTGCATTTTATTATTATTTCAGGATTTAACTTGTGCTTTTACATTTAAATTTATATATTTTCAGTCTGTTAAATGCAACACACAGTATATTATGTTCAGTTTCTGTGCTTTGATTCAAGACATTTTTTTGGCTGAACCCTCCGAGCAGGAAGACTTGAGGTGAGCTTCGTGAGCAGCAGCAGCTCGGTGGTGTCGGCCGTCACACCGCTGCCTGTGTGACGTGGTTTAATGACCTTTTCGCTGCCGTCTGCGGACTCACCTGTTGTTTGTCTGGCTGTGATTTTTCCAGAAATAAACTGCAGCTGCTTTCGTGGCGTCCGATCTAAACTGCACATCGACACCGAAACACAACTTTGACTAAAAATAAAGCAGCCAGTTGTTGGTTTGTGTCAGACTTTGTTTTCCTCTGAGCTGAAGCCACATCACTGTGAACTTAAACCTCCTCCACTCATATTTATATCCAGATTTTATCAAATAAACTCAGAATGTAGATTTTATCTTCTGACACTCTTTTCCTGATCATGATCTTGTCGTGTGAACCCACCGGTCATTTTTAAAGGCATATTATTGACACTAAATTATCAGCCAGAAACTGTAAAATCAGAAAGAAAGACTGAATTTTCAGTCCTTGAACTCATCATGTTCCATCTAAAAACTTCACCAAACTTAAACTCTACATGTGAAACACTCTCAGCTCAAAAAATCTAAATCACTTTATTATTCTACGTCTCATTTAATGATAAAAAAATAAACCGTTTGCTCGAAACAGATTCTGTAAAAAACAATAAATTCTGCTCTCCTCTGTGCAGCTATGAAGCCATGAATGACTCAGCTGTGACCAACAGTCTCCTGAGAAAAATTCAGGGAGTTTTCAGGTGAACTGCAGGCTGTGTAAAAACAGAACAGATCAGAGACCAGTGAGGAAACAGACAACGATATAAATAATAAAAATGTATATATATATATATATATATATATTGTATGTGGAGTGATAACATCTGTGGACACTAGAACAAAAAAATGTTGCACGTTATTTGTAAAACAAATTCAGCTTTTGTTTTTCCTTTTTTCCTGGTGTGTGTCATTCAGACGGAGGACGTTTCTGAGTTCTCGTTGCTTCTTCATGTTGTTCTGCTTCCACAGAGCTGCAGGACTTTATATTGCTGAGAAAAACAGAAAAAAATGTGAGAGGAGCAAAGAAAAACGCACAGAAACTGTTCACAGAGTTAATCTGCAGTTTATTTTCTTGATAAACTAAATTGTCCAGAATCCAAAGAGTTTTAGTTTATTATCCGACAAACATAAAGAGACTGGAAGCAGCAAGTGTCTCGGATTTGGGCTTTAAAAAATAAAATAAAATGCTGTTTCCAAAGAGTGAGCCACAGTGAGTAAAAATATAACAGGAGCCAACAAATCTGTAGAGTAGAGCACATATTCCTGTCACATGTAGATGACTGGATGATAATTAAAGACAGAGCAGCAGGAGGCGGTGGAACAGCAGCTTCTAAAGAGTCCACTGATGTAAAACAACAGAAATGCACATTATAAGCAAAGCTGTTCAGGAATGGAGGCTAACGGCGTGAACTCAGGCCTCCTGTGCGTCTCTTTGTGTCTCAGGTTCATGTACGTTTTCTACCTCCAGCTCAGAAACCTGCATCTTCTGCCACCGATGACTTCAGTGTCGTGTTTTTTGCGTGTTGGCAGTCGTGGTGGAAACACTTTGTCTCAGTGGAGACATCTGGAGAGGCTTAGCAGCTACTGTAGCGGGAACAAACCACACACACATCGACACAAAGAGCCTCTTGTTGGGGTTCTTTTTTTCTTTTCTTTTTTTTTCTAGTTGGAATCCGTCCGTCAGAGCTCTGCGAAGGTGAGACGGACACAGACCAGCACCTGTAGCTCCGGCTCACAATGCTTCATGTGTTCAGGAAGTCGTAGATAATATCGTGTGGAAAGAGGAAAGCAACATGACAGTAAAGCCTGGAGGCTGGAAGTATTTATGCTGCACAATTTACCCAAAACTGCTGAGTCAAAGGGTTTTCCAGAGAAAAAAACTGGTGTTGCATGAAATATGAAGGTTAAAACCCAACAGTTAGTTGTTGTTTTTCACCGTTTATTTCCATCTGTCAGTCTTTAAACCAATGACAGTCATGTTAAGGCAGGATGAATTAATAAAGTGCATCTGCATAGAAACTACAATTTGATTTGAAAAGCTGATTTTATTTTATTTTATTTTGTGCAAAATGTTGAGTACTTTTCCCACATGGTGGAACATAAACTGAAGGACGTCTGAAGTAGTCTTGGACAACTTTCAGATCCGACTTTATGCAGCAAAGTTCGTTAATCTGATTATTTATGTTTCCTCATGTGGAAATGACTGCAGACAGAGAACCTGTTATTGGTCGTAGCTGAAGTATTTTCCATACAGCTGATAATTACAACTACATTTGATCAATAATGAGATCAGGATAACGTTTTGGATTTTAGAGATAAAATATTTCCTGCTAGTGCACAAATCTGTATCAAAGTAAGACCTAAAATAATCTAAAGAGCATCTTCTAAAGGATTAACATAAACATCAAATGCTAGATGTTTGCTAATTGATAGACGCTACCGTTTCCAGATGTTCCCTGAACGCCTCCCAGAAGAAGCTTCTAGTCTCCATCAGTTACTGCAGAGACCAAACATTAGCCTGAAATCAGGAGTTCTGGTGTCAGATTTACCTGAAACCAGTTGATTTCTATTCGCGGAGCATTTAAACATCATTTATTTAATGATGAGAAGTCAAACAAAAAAAGGAAATGATGTTCTATGAGACAGACTTCTCTTGTATTGTAGATTAAAGATTTAAAAAAAAAAAAAAAATAAAAAAAAAGAGTTCTGTGTGAGTTTTCTTTTTGTAT